ATCTGCACTCCAAGGCCCACAAAGTCCTGCACCTGCCACGAAATTTGCACTTCAAGGTCCACAAAAAACCAAGAGAGGTTGAACAGCCCTATAGGGCATCCCATATGTACCACTACAGGGTCCTATATGGTCTGTCAACCTCTCTTGGAAGTCCTGCGCCTGCCACGAAATCTGCACTCCAAGGCCCATAAAGTCCTGCGCCTACCAGTGGCCACCAACTCTGCACTTCAACATCCACAAAGTCCTGCACCTGCCATGAAATGTGCATTGCAAGGTCCACAAAGTACTGCACCTGCCGCGAAACACTACGACTACCGCTACGATACTGCTGCTATTATAGTCCGGTTGCTACTCTTACTGCTACTGTTATTTTTTGCTTCATTAAATATTTTTGATGCGTGTGGAATATTTTTTTGATGCGTTAAATATGTTTTTTGATCTCTCACCCGTTGGCATGTGTTGCAATGTTGTAATGTTCAGCGTCCTCCTTCACTCAACAATCAAAGACTGCGGAGATTCGCAAGAGCTTTGGTCTTTTCTTCTGTTCTTTGCAACGAGTTTCTCATGGATCCAGCAGTCATGAAACTAGGATAGGCAGCCCGGGCGGCAACCCTTTGGCCCGTCCCAGGGCGTTGATGACCAAGAGATGGTCACAAATTTACAGACCTTCCAAGAGGTGTCTATAGCCTCTTAGGGGATTTAGAGGTTCAGTGTCCAAAAGCCGCCTGACTTGGAAAATCCTGCTAGAAGAAACGGATCTGACAGATCTTCACCCTGCTGCTGTCAGATCATTGACCTCTCGCTTTTTCTTTTTTGACCTCTTGACTCGCCCGTCGTGCTCCGTCTCTCCACCTGTACCGATGGAACGGTCACCGTCACCCCCGTCACCCGTCTCAGGTGGTGGCAGCGGTCGTGGGCTATGGCACCAACTGGGTGGGTGTGAAGATGTCCCACCGACGCCGTTGGTGTCGGGGACGGACGCCGGGGACGCGGACGACCCGGCTCCGGACTGCGGGGCGGTGGAGCGGTGTCGGTGACGCGCGGCGTCCGATGCGGGAGGAAGACGCGGAAGACGATTTTGGGGCGATGGGCGATGGGGACCGGGGGGAGGGAACCTTTGGAAAGGATGGAGATCCAGGATAGTAGCTAAAAGCCCCACAGAAGAAGACCTCCGACCAGTGTGGAGTCGCTGGAGTAGAAAGGGTGTGAAAGTGATGTTCATGAATCTCCCTCTTTGACCAAGAATTTAGAGGTTTCATGTGTACCAGAGCTACCAACTGCTGGGTTTCGTCAATGTCTCCTGCCAGCATCTCCTGCCGCCTGCTTTGCCAGGATCTTCTACCCCATCGAATTTTTAGGAGCCACTTGTCTTCCCCAAGAATTTCCCGAGCCTGGGGAATCGCGGGGGGTTGCGGACTGCGGGGGTTGCAGGCCTGCGGGCGGCTAGGGTTCATCAACCAGCCAATGAGAAAATACATGGACGGTGGTGTGATTCCGAGTGCAAAACTGCCCTGCCAAGTTGACTGGAAGAAACCTCAGACCGCGCGAGTCCAAACCGCATGGTCTTTCGGTGATGAGACCTCAGGACGTGTCGTAGTACGTCGTTTTTCTCGTCGAAGTGTCGCAGTGGAACGTCGCTGCGCATCGCCCAGGGGTCAACCAGGTCCACTTCCGTAAGAGCGACGTGAAGGCAGGTACAGGAGATGATGTTACGAGGAGACCCTCCATCCAACAAGTATAACAACTGGCAAAACGACTTCCTTCGATGGTTGAATGGAGGGTCAGACCACGTTCAAGCAACCAGAACCCATCTCACCAAAGGATCCGAAAGAAGAAACACCTCACCATCCTCACTCCTCAGCCCATCGGATGTGGATCCCAGGGCCCAGCTCCAGAGCCGAGCTTCCTGCGATCGGAGGATCCGACCCATCGTGGCATCACAAAGACGTACCGTGGTCTGTTCTTGCGATGGAATTCGATCTCTGGCTGTCTTTCATCATCTTTCATCCCTTCCATCCTGGTTTTCTCCGCGTTCTCAGGTGAACATTCGGAGATGGCCGGAGACGCCTTTGGGCTTCATAGGCCGGAGCTTCTCCTTCCACCGCGCCGCACCGCCCGACGTCGGCCCGACCACCGGTGGAACCCGGCGGGCGCGTCGGCGGTTTGCGGAGGGTGTTTGCACGACGTACAGGAATATGTCGATGCGTGTGTACTCGTAAATGTCCAGGCAGGCGAACATGCCAACAAAAAGCCAGGCGATCTCGTGCTCAAAATGGTCGTGGGCGAGCAAGATCGACGAATATTCTACCCCAGACAAACCATGGGACTGGCATATACCCCTACGGTGGTTTTCAAGGGTCAATATGCCATACATGATGTTTTTGGGACGTTTGTATGAGATTTCCGTGGCAGAAACCGAATCGACTGGCCGGGTCTTTGTGTGTATGGCTTTGTGTTTGAAGATCTCGTTGAGGAGTGAGCTGGCTTGAACACCAAGTCTCACCAGTTTGGGGAGAGAGAAAACACGCCGGCGACATTTGGGGTGGTCGGTGTGGAAGTTGTGTAGGCAAACCCTTAGCCACTTCATTCGACGATCTGTTGGGCTCCAATTTGGGGGTGGGGTTGGAGGGTCCAAATACCTTCTGAGGAGGTACTTGGAGCCGTACTCGTAGGGGATTAAAGGAAAGCGAAGAAATCTTGACCTGGTTTTGTAGTCTAACATCGTTATAGTAAAGCAAAGGTACATTGTCGAGCACATTTGAGTGCAGTAAAGTAAAACAAAAGGTACTATAGAGAGCGTGTCACCTATATTATAAATATGATGTATGTACTATGATACACCATCTCAGCTTGGAAGCTTATAGGATAAATATATGTCATAGAGTGTCACCAGTAAGCGTAGGTCAAGGATGATCACTGCTTCGGAAACAGTCTTCGCTGTCAGCATCTACTGTTGCTGACGGTTTGGGTATTTACCGATTCTACCCAGTATATTGTTGATAGAGTGTTTGGGTATTTGGCACCATGCAACATCCTTGATGCTTGAAGAAACCGAAGCCGCCTCATGAAGAAACTGCTCCTACAGCGGCGGGAGACCATGATCTGCCCGTGGTTTTTTGGTTTCAGGTTCCATGTCGGTATGGGACGTGGGTTTTCTTTCATGAATTTCAAGGCGTGTGCACTGTGAGACGACGGTGAGATGTTGAATGACATCAAGTACGGTAAACTTGGCTGAATGGATTCATTCTGGCTGCAGGCTGGCAAGGCATTGTGCCTTGCAAGACAGGCAAGATGAGCAGGCGCGGAAATACGAAACACCATAAGGGAAGGAAGGGAAGGGAAGGGAAGGGAAGGGAAGAAGGGAAGGAAGGAAGGAAGGAAGGAAGGAAGGAAGGAAGGAGAAAGAGAGGGAGTTGCCGCTTTGATACTACGCAAATGTACTCTCAGTACTTACTTCTTCTGCCTACATTGTTTGGAAGCTTTCAATCAGCCTCCTGCTACATAAAAGACAGAGCCACAGAAGTTTGGATGTCCTTATAGGATTTGTCGAGAAAAGAACATGTTTGTTGGTTTGATTCACGACTATGTACGTGACACTTTCGGAACTGATTGCATAAACAGTTTACCAACCTGCCACGTTTTAAGAAATAAAAATAAGACACACACACCTCCTGACCAAGCAATCAAAGGTGGTTCGCAGCTTAGCATCCACTATTAACATGCATATTTGCAGAGTCCTTGCGGTTTGACATCAGAGCTCGCTTTGGTGTGGAGAGGAGGTCTTCTTAGTGATGGCAGGCCACCCATATCCATATAATGCAAACTCTTGATAGATAAAGCCCCCAGATGATCCCAGATGAAGAGGTCTTTCCATTCAATTGGGTGGTTTTACCAATCAAGAGTCTACAGAAAACACCTGCAAAAGTCCATTCTCGGCGTTCACCAGGCGCCTTGTGGATATCATCACGGAGAAGCTCTTGAGTCTCAAAGAGGCCATCGGACTTTCCGGTGGTTGCGGCGTCTGAAAACTGCGCCCACCATGTCCGAATCGGATGCCCAAAGAAGACCAGTACCATTTGTCCTAATGACATCATCCAAAAAGGGACCACTTTTTCCTGACATGTTTCCTGACCAGTTTTTCTCTCTGAAATCCCTTCTGAAGATCCATCCGTCACTGGCGCCACAAAAAGCAGGCGCTTTTCGCTTGTTGCTTTTCGCTTTCGCTTTTCGTTGGCCAGGCCTTCTCCCGCTTGGATGCCGCCGAGTTGGCGCAACGCCTGGAGCCGTCCCGTCCTCAGACGGTGCGACGAACGGCGGAGTGGGACGTGCCAAAAATTCGGCGGAAAAAGGATGAGACGCCGGTTACATCCATGGGATCAGGGCGCTGCTCACAGATTGGAAATGCTTTTGGGATGCTTTTTTACGTGTTGTTTTTTCCAGGTGCTTAGGATTTTGGGAGGATGCCCATGTTGTTTCGGGTACCTGCATTCATCAACACTGCTAACATTCGGCCTATCCCAATGTATTCTGCAAGAAAAGCACTGACGTAGAAGCTCCTTGCTCATTGCAAGAAGCTGGCAGCCCAAACCTCGCCAACCAGCTTGCATGCACAGGGATTTCCAGTGGTTCGACACCCAGCTTCCATCGTTGGTGCCAGATGGCAGTGTCGATACGGATGGGTATGATGTGTCCACGTCGGGGGCTGAAGGTCGACAGAGTTCCGAGGGAACTGGAGACCCAGGGACTGGAGTTCAGATGGGTACTCAGGACGTACCAGGATCATCCTGGACGGTGTCCAATAGACTACTGTACCCCTACCCTATACAGGTCTCCTACTTCAGGGCACCCAGACAGGAAGTGCTAGGTATGAGATAGGGAGACCTTTTTGTGGAAGGAAAATCGATCCAAAGCCCGGCGGAGTCTCCCGATGTTCACGCCCATTCGAAACCGGGGGTTTGAACTGATCGTGGGATCATATGCCGTTCCCATGAAGTGTTAGACATATCTAGTACGTTAGATATATATTGGATAGACCACGATGTTGCACCACTTGCAAGCCCAACATTTGCCTTCCTGTCATATCTCAGTTCCTTGCCATCCTCAAGTTCCCCGCTCGCCTTTCGGCTCGGCTTTCGTTAGGTCAGTGGCATATGCCATCGAGCATGATGCTGCCTGGGGCGAGGCGCGGCGTTCGTACCGGCAGCACCGATGGGTGATCCTGTGGGGGGGCCCTCGGTCTACGGTTGAAGTCGAGGAACCAATTGGTGACCCCAGTGACCTACGGACGTGGTTTCGTTACTAAGCATGGCGGGAGGATTAGACCATACACACATCAACATGGGTGTTTCGGTTCCAACAAAAAATAGACGTGTCACTTGGAAAAAAATACGCTTTGTTAGCTTGGCTCCTCACCGTGGAAGAGGTGAACACAAGGCGCGGGCCACCCTAACTTGGATTGGCTTGCTTGAGAAACCTGGAAAAACAAAACATATTCCCCAGGTTAGAGGATTGACCCAGTTCGGGAAAATATGTCTAATCACCTGATTCACTAAACCAGGCGACTAGACGCTTTGCATCCACCAGGTCTGGATCAGTGTGACTCGGCCACAGCTGCGCAGCGTGCTGACGCAACTGGTCCAGGACGGCGGCGGTGGTTTGGGTCACCGGCGGGGTGGGAGTCGTTCGTTTTGGAGGGCCAAATGACGATCTCTTTGCGACAGAGTGGATGTAAATGCTTAACTTCAGACTTGTGTCATTGGCACTTTTTGCTAGCCAAGAGTGTTCGCTATATCATGGCAAAATATATCAAGGCTACGCAATAGATCAGAAGTGGTATATATAAAAGTCTTTCACCTGGATTGGCCTAATCACGGCCTCATCTTCCCTGAACATCCTTGCCTTCTCGCGTCAAGGAGATGCAAAAAGACATTGAGCTGGGGTGCCCAGATGCACCCTGCAGACATTTGCAGTGTCCAAAGCTTCAAGAAGATCGAGAAGTAAACCCGTGGTTATGCCAGATTTGGGGGAACAGACATGTGTTCTCTGTGGTCAGGTCAGGTGTCACCACCACAGTGCTCTGGACTTGCATCAAGCCGTGCCAAGGCTTCGAATCCGCCCATCGAATCCGCGAATTTCCCCAGCAGTTTTACCAGCCACTGGATGAAGTCATTTCCAGAGGCCCAGTCAGTCGCCTTCCCCCAATCACGCCGAACCAGGAAAAGACCATCGCAATCTCCATTTCGGTCTCATTGGCACCTCGTTGGCTTCTGGTGTCTCCACCCACCTCAACTGAGTGAGGGGGGGTGAACTCACCTCGCCGGCCAAGCAACACCCAAAGCAGCCAGGAACCTCTTAGATCTACGGAAGGTCGTCTCCAGCGCCTTCCTCAAAGACAAGGCCCGGCTCGCCGCTTGCGCGCCACCGGTCGGACCGATCGAGTCTCCAACGTGGGACCGCGCCTTCGGTTGGACATGGGGAGGGCGGTCCTAGCTTGGGGGATGAAGAGTGAAGGGTCTTTTGGGGGTTCTTTTTGGGTCTTTGAGACTTTCTGAAAAGCTTCAGAACTAGTGATTTTAGGGATCTACTGAGCAGCAGTTGGGCTGTTCCTCATTGCTGTGAAGGGGTGGACGTCTGACTGTGCGGAGTGAATGCCAACGGGTTTCATGGAGAACAGCGAAAACCTCAACCACCTGATGAATGTGTTTGGAAAGACCGGAAGGAAAAAAAATGGTGCGGTCTCCCAAACAGACGGTTTTTTTTGATATAAGAGACTCCTCCGTCTAAGACTGGTTGCTACCGATGATGGATGCTGTGTCCAGTCTTCGGCACTTGGTCGTTGCTCCTTCGAGGTCCGACCCACCGGAGCTGTGCGGGTCTGGCCCCACCCACGCGCCACCCGCCCCGCGCCGAACGAGGTGCTGTTGGGCGAGCTCTTCCAGAAAGCGGGCCGAAAGGTGGGAGTGGAGTGGAGTGGAGCGTCGCACGGGGGTCGCAGACCGCAGACCACCCGGGGTGGTCGGTCGCCGACTTGGCGGGGTCGATCCCAGGGGTGTCCGGACGAGTGTCCGGACTCCGAGTGAGGTCGCGTCCATCTGAGGCTCATTCGGAAGCACGCGTTTCACCGGTGAAAAGCATTCCGATTCAGAGACCCAGAAGAAGAGGGAACCGGAGGATGAAGAAAGAGACGGGGCTTTTCCGAAGATTATGTAAGATGTATGTAGTGGGTGAGAACGGACGTGGATTGCATGGCCTGGTCGTTCTTGAAAACGGGGAATCCAAGAGTGTTGTTCGCACACGACACCAGTTCTCAGAAGCATTTGCCTCTCCACCTCATAAGATGGGATGGATCCTGAAGAAGAAGCCGACTGGTAAAGAGCCCAAAGACTTCAAAAAAGACTTTGAGACAGCCCATGTTTCTGCTGGTTTTCGGACAGCAGCAGATAGCTGGACAGCTGGCACCCCAAGGAGGTGGTTCCTGCAGCCCACGAGGGGCTATACGGGTGAATGCAAGCGGTATAGGTGTACGGGGCAAGCAAAGCGGAAGAGGCCGTAACATGACAGAGCAGGTAACATGTGGGACGAGGAAACGTTGTTGATTGACGTGTGTTCTATAGGAAAATCTCGCATGCAGTAGCAAAAGAATAGTATGGCAGCATAGCAGCACTAATCTCTTCCACTCACCACATGTTTGAAGACTTGTTTTTGCTTCAAAATCCATGAAGCGCTCTTTTTCTCCATAGCTTTTGGACTCCCCCACGGAAAAAGCTATTCCCCGACGCAAAAAAAAAGTAAAGAAAGCAAGAAGAACACCCACAAACCCTCTGCAACCCTCTGCAACCCTCCGCGCGCTATTTAGCGCTTTTCGGACCTCCAAAAAAGACACCCTTTCAGCTTGTCATCAACCCTGGCCCACGACCAGGGTGGGACACCGCACCGACAGGAGCTGGAGTTCTTGGTGAACTCCGGCCTCAGCTTCGGCTCCTGGGCTTTTCCCAACGCTGTCTCCTCCAGTCGTCGGAGGTCGGTAGGTCGGTCGAGGAGTATGTCCGGCCCAGACAGCTGACATGCTGTCCGGTGGAGTATGTCAAGTTCCGAAGTGGATGAGTTGAACATGTTATTTAGCTGCACACCTTTTGATGTGTTTTTGCAGTGCTTGGGGAGGTTCTACCAGAAGCATCTACCGAAGATGATAAGATAGGTGTACCAGACATCCCTCATGGAGCTCAAAGCTCTGGAGACCCTCATGGAACAGAGGAGGACCCAGGTACACCAGACATCCCTCCAACGTATTGATGATGTTGAGGAGGCTTCTTCGGGGCTCGACTGCGCTGTGTTAGCCCCAACCTGCTAGCTTCTTGTTCCTATAGTAGTACGGCCAGGAGCCCCTAGTAGCGTCCGAACGCTCCTGTAGCGATGCCAGGAGCCCCTATTAGCTTCTTGTTCCTAGTAGAATGCACATGGACATCCATGCTGCCGCCTTCGGCCACCACGAACATCGTCTCTCTTTCCGCCCAGTCCGGGCAGCCGCCCATCCGTCTCATCCAAACGGTGGCCAGTGGTTGGCGTATCCAACTCTCCTAGGTTTCTTTCTGGGCATCCTACAGATGCTATTGTGGATTTGCTTTCCCAACAACTGGGTGCTTCCAGTAGGCACGCACCGATGGCGTTTGGGCGTTTTTTTGGCATGCGGGGAACCCGATGGGAGATCGTCGGGTGGTCTTTTTTTCGCCTAAGGTTGATGATCAACTGGGGTAGTGTCGGGTAGTGTTGTTTTACATGGTTTCATGTTTTCAGGCATCGCGGGATGCGGCCGTGTTGGAAGACGGATTGGACCATGGACCGCGATGCCATGCTTTTGGGCATCCAACTGCGGTGCCCAACTGCAGCTGTTGGCAGCTGTAAGCGATGCCACTGACAAGTCCGGTGATATCTGGTTTCTTCCTGCAAAATCCAGGACAACAAAACGAATGAAGAAACCAGATATCACCGTTTGACCCGTTTCGTTGCCGTTTCTACATCCCCGTTTGACCCGTTTCTCGTTGGCCCAAACGGTCAAAACGATGGACGACTGAAAGTCATCAGCTCCACGGGAGCGAAAGAAGGACGAATCGGTGTCTTCATGGCATGTTAGGGAGCATTGGGAAGCTGTGAAAACTGACTCTGAAACAGGAAGAATTCATGGAAAAGCAGAGCAGCAGATCTGTGAAGAAACAAGGCGCTTTTGCAGATGGTGTAATGATAATGTGACTGCGTGCTTAGTAGGGAATGAGGGTGACTGGATCCAAAGGAATCTCTATTGGGGGCTCATTCCCTTCTCTACTAAGCACCAGTCAGATAATGTGACTGTGCTTCTTAAGAAGAGTTGGTGTCAAGGCTCAGCTTCAGAGGTCGAAGCTTCCTGGGTCACGTGGAGCTTTGCGAACCCAGGCACAGAATCCCCCTGACCTGGGTGACCAACTTCGCTAAGAGCTGTAGCAACCTCAATGAGCAAAGATCTCTCGAATCAGTTGATTTCGTCCACTTCTCCTCACTCTTTCGCTGTGGATCTTGCACTCCAAGCTGATAGAAAGACCACCTGAAAGAGAAATCAGGGGAAGGTGAAAGGTGCGTAGTTATATGGGTGTGTAAGTGGGTGTGTATCTTAGCAGGGAGATGCAGGGAGCCCCCAACCAAATGGGTTGACTGGTCTATTCCCCTTCTTCCAGAGGGTCGAACTGGGAGGTCTCCCTATTTGAGCTACACATGTATAGTGTCGTGTCGTCGGTACGACTCCCATACGTTACCCGTTGGGTCCGATGTGAAGGACTGGACCAGTCGCCCTCGTCGTCGCGGTCGTCCTTCGCGGGATCGTTGGCGGCTTCGATCCAGCGGTCGTTGCAGGGGCGGTTTCATGACTTCGTTCTTTGCCACGAGATTCGACTGCTGTTTTTTCCATTGAGCAGTTGGACGGAACCAAACGATGGCACCGTGCTGTCCGGTTTGATTTGGTTCATCCACGGAACACACGTCAGAAAAGAAGAGTTGACAACTTAGATATCAGCAGTCAAGTAAACTGTTGATGACATGTCAAAAAGCGATTGGAAAACATATGAAATCATATTGAAGAGATGGGTTAATCAATCAACGGTTTTCATGTTCCTGTTGGTGTTCAGATTTGAAGTGCGTGGAAAATGAGAACCCCAAAGAAATCCAGACCCACCCCATGACTCCCAGAATGGGTTTAAGGGAAAATCGGAAACCATGCTGTAAACAACGGGTTTCCAGCAGATGTTTCCTCAAACCAATTCTGGCCATGAGCTACGTTCGGGGCTCCTGGCATCGCTACGAACGGAGCGTTCGGGTGCTACGAACGGGGCTCCTGGCCGAAGCTAATAGGAACAAAGGGCACCGCGAACCGAACGGAGCGTTCGAAGCAAGCTACGCCGATGTCCAGGTGTCCTGGCCGTATCTACTGCGCTCGTCTCCAGTCGTTTGCGCCAGGAGGGGCGCTGGTCGGGTACATCACGTTGCGCGACTTAGGGATGGAGGGATGGAGGGCGTGATCGAAAAGAAACGCCCAACTGGAGTCTTTGGTTGGGCCTTCAACTCGTTTTCGACGTGAAGGAACGCGCCCAACTCGTTTTAGACGTGCCTCGTGTCCATTCAGTCTTCAGTCTCGAATTGCAAATAGATGTTCCAACCGAAAAACCCTGGAAGACTAACATGGGTGTCTGAAAACCACGTGTTGGTAGAGGAAAACCATATGCGCTGCAAACCAAGGGCTCACGACACTGAGCCAGTTTCTCTCCATCACTTGTCGCCGGAAAAGTCTCTGTGTCCTGAGCTCTTTCTTTTGCTTCCAGAGTCTGTTGCAAAGTGCTTCCGGGTGATAAAAGCTTCAAAAACGGCAGAGACGCCTGGTTGGGAGATGCCCTTCTCCATGGTGACTTGCGCTCATATCTCATTGCAGCTTTGAAATCCGGTGCTTTGAAATCGAAAAAAGAACATCGTGCGTCAAACGTGTGTCAAGTCTGACCAGTTGTCACCGACATTGTCCGTTCAAGAAGTCATGATGTGCTGTGCATGGCTGGGAAATGGTGAGCGTCCTGGAGTCCTGGAGGCTGGCAACAACGACAACACCACGCCCAAACAACTGCTCCACCAAGCCAAATACAAGCAGGCGAGAGATTCATGAATATAATCCTGGCCTAGAGGCGAGGGGAAGGAAAACCACGTACATCATCTCGGCATCTCCGCATTCAGTTGGCGAGCCGAAGGCTGTGAGGCTGTTGCTCCAGCATGGAAGAGAGCGCTCAATGACACTAAGGTGTACATTGCGTCTTATGGTTCGGCCACGCCCATGCTGGCAAGACCTTGCAGGTTACGGAAGCACGCCCAACAACGTGCTCGTGGACAAAAAGCTGGCCTCATCAAACGTAATCCTTAATCCTACGGGGGATTACGGATTACAAACTATCGGATTGTCCGGTTTGGGGCGGATTACGGATTAGAACTCAGAGCCCCCGTTTTGAGACTAGGATTACGGATTAGAGCTTTGGATTGTTTGGCGTGTGCAGATCCTTCCTATAAGTGAAATAACTCTGATCCTGGAGCGCCTTCGGCTTCACAATCCAGAGCCCCGAGTTCAGTGGTTTGAGTTGGTTGCTTCCAAATCCTATGGCCACAAGCACCCTTCACAATCCCGATGGCCACAAACACCCCTCACAGTCCAGAGCCCCCCAATTGAGTGGTTTGAGTTGGTTGCTTCCAAATCGGGGGTTGTGAGAACAAACACCGTTCGCAATCCATAACCCCCAACTCTGTGGTTTGAGTTGGTTGCCTCCAACTCGGGGCTGTGAAGATTCCTATGGCCACAAGCAATCCCGATGGCCACAAGCACCCTTCAATCTAGAATCCCCAATTCAGGGGTTTGAGTTGGTTGCTTCCAAATCGGGGTTGTGAGGATCCCTACATTGGATTTATGTATCCAAGCCAACAACCCCCCATTCAGGAGTTTGGATTCTTTCCTTCCTAAAACTTTTAAGGATTACGGATTGTAAGGCTGGGTAAGGATTACGGACTACTGCGGATTAAGGATTGTTCGGATTACAAGCATTTTTCGGATTAGCAGGATTGCGGATTAATTTTGTAGGCGCGCTCATTTTGATGAGCCCAGAAGAGCACTGGCTTTCGTTTTGCAGCTTCTCAGGTTGCAAGGTTGGAGCGCTGGGTTGAGGGCAGACATCAGATGGAACGACGATTGTTCAGGTACATCCCAAAGTGGTTTCCATTTGCCATCCAGATGCTTGAGCCTTGGCACGCGCATGTTGGGTCTCACAATTGTTTACAGCGTGTATCACTCCATTTCGTCCCAACTCTGGCCATAACACTCTCACATCAGAGTGACGCAGGACCACCATTCATTGGAACGTGCACTCTGAAGGTTCCTCCAAGCTGGTCGGTGGAGTGCAACAGCTTCAGATGGGAGGCCAAGGTCCACTTAAAAAACCAGCACTTGTCAATCCTGACTATGTCCAAACATCCATGTTGAGCAAACACGCCGCACTTCTTGAAACCCTTAACAGTTGCGGCGTTTCTTCCTGAGTGGCGTTGACTTTGACCAGGCGAAAGGATGGCACCCATTTCGTGCTCCAAGCGTGCACTCGAATTGGATTGAAGGTGGGCCCGGAATGGTGGATTCGGGTGTCAACATGTGTCAATTTCTTGCTTACAGGATTGCAGCTGTTGGTGACAGTGTGGACAGTTGAGAACGGCACCAGTGGTCTCATTGCAGGGTTTCTTTCATTCCGGACACCCGGGAGAAGGGATCGACAGTGTCTTGGTGACGCTTGACATCCTTCGCACACATGCACAGGCAGGCCCGAACTGGCTTTGCGATCACTGGCCTTGCATGGCTTCAGTCATTTCACTTGGGGTTCTTTGCTTGCACCATTAGGCAGTCAGATGCCTCAGCAGGAAGGTGAGTTGACTGAATTTGATGGATCGCATTCGCACACTTTTTCATCTTCATTCCCGAGAGCGTCTGCGAAGGGTTCTTCGTAAAAAAACATCTGCAGAATATACACCTCCTCTACATCTTCACATCTTCACCTCTGTACAATCACGTTCTCACCCCTATCTCTGCTCATCTTCACATCTGCACATCTACATCTCTGCTCATCTTCACATCCTCACATCTACATCTCAGCTCATCTTCATCTTCACACATCTACATCTACATCTCTGCTCATCTTCACATCTTCATATCTACATCTCACATCCTCACCTCTCGCTCTTCTTAACTTTCTCTCTCAAGGCCGGGGGCAGTGCCGCCGGACCGCCACGAAACGCAACCCTCTGCGGAGATCGTGCGTGTCAGACGCGCGAAATGCAGGCGAGAGTGCGATTTGTCTCTGTCCGTCGCAACCCTCTGCGGAGATCGCGCGTGTCGAGTGCGCGAAATGCAGGCCAGAGTGCGATTTGGTTTTGTCGCGGGCAACCCTCTGCGGAGATCGTGCGTGTCGAGTGCGCGAAAAGCAGGCGAGAGTGCGATTTGGATTTGTCCGGCGCAACCCTCTGCGGAGATCGTGCGTGTCGAGTGCGCGAATGCAACAACTTTAGTACGCGGAGCAATCTGTGGAGCTGGAAGCTGAG